GTTCAATACATTTTAGACTTTGCTAGTAACAGTGGTTACTTTTACGCAATAGGCAACATGACAAAACTTTCATTTTCAATAGTTGTGCTAAAAGGGAGATAATGCTGAAATGTTCTGATAAACCTGAGAATGTAACACAGAAAACAAAAGTTTCGTCTGCACGTATTAGCCACTACAGAACTTATATAACATAGTTTATAATTAAGTTATTTGTTAACTGAAATGAAAACAAAATTAAATCAGTAAGATTGTCTGTAATTGAGTACAACACGCGTGATAAAAAAATCTTAGATTTTTCTCGTAGGATTGTGACAATGCCACCATCTCCTTTCATCTTTTGAAGTAACTATTTCGAAATAAATCATCTTACAAGAAAAACTCTATAAAAAGGAATGTTTCGTGGAATACGAACGCACTATCTTTCGTTCCAACACATTTGTTTTATTTTCGTTAACGGACGGTGGATGTCCTTAACGGACGTGTCCTTAACGGACGGCGGTTAAAGTCCTTAATGGGCGCCGGCCGTTGTGTTAACCGTCCACCGTCTGTTTTAAACGATCGCAGCCGATGTGTTGAATCCAAAACTACCGCACGAGTTCTTGTATTGCAAGTAATGCTTATTAAAGGTGTGCGTTAACAGACTACGTCTGCACTGCGTGTGGCAGGCTCGCGCTCGCGGCAGCGGGGGCGGTGGCGGGGGCGAGTGCATCGGGGGCGGCGTGCAGCTGCACGTGGTGGCGGCGACGCAGCGCAACGCGTCGGGCGCCTGGAGCGTGGCGACGTCGGCCTCCAGCGACGTCGCGGCGCGCGTCCGCCCCCGCCTGCACCTCGAGGCGACGCTGGGCGTGGGCGTCTGCCCGCGCGGCCTCGTCACGCTCTCCGCGCACGCCGCCGTCGCCGCCGCCGCGCCCGCGGGCTACGAGCGACTGCGCATCCCGGGCGTCGACAGGTGACGTCAGCGCTACGAGGCGGCTTGGCAGGTCTCACCCCGGTGGCGGAAAGTGCTTATCGGGCGCTGTCCTGGTGTTATTAACCACAAAGATCTACAAGACGGCCCTACGCACCCACCTCGCCTCCAGCCCACCGCAGCCCATTCCAAACCGTCCCATCCTGCCCCAATCACATCTAGGTCCAGCTCGCTCCAGCTCGGCTTATCCCGCCCCAGCTTGCCCTAGTAGGCGCTAGATCGTCCCTTACCGCTCGGACCCGTCCTATCCTGCCCCAGCCAGTCCATGCCCGCTTTACAGGAATTTCGAATAATGTACCAGGTTTATTTAACCTCATATTGGAACTATCTCATATTCCCTAGTCCATTCCTATATACTTAAATACGAAATTCACTGATTACTGCTCTATGACACAAAACTATCTGCAATATTGAATTATCATTGATAATTGTGTTACCGTAACCCAAATAGCTTTCTGTGAAGTAAACATTTCATACAATTGCACGTCCAAATTCTCTTTTCTTTTTTTTCCTAAAAAAAATCAGCCTAATATATATTTCTTTCCAGCCAGATATATTAATGTCTTTTTCATTCCTGAAAAAAAAACTTGCCAGTTTCGTATTGGCAGAGATAATAGTTACTGCATAAATATCTGCATTTTATTTAGTTATGGTAAAAAAGAATAAGAATAACGTTATATTTTTGGCATGTTAATGAAATGCAGTTCATCCAGTCCACTAACACAAAAAATCGCACGTTTTTGTCACTAATTGAATTTCCTCTGGGAAAACTGATTTTTACAATTAATGTTGAGTACAAACCTAAAAATATCAATATAAAGTTTAATATTGGATACATGTATTAATGTATTACTTGCTTGACACTCCGAAGTTAAAAGATAATGAATGCATGCTCTAAAATTTTAGTTCACTATTGAAATATGTTACCATTTTAATTTAACGCAGTTCCCATATCGGCTGTAAAAGGTTCTTGGAATTCACAGCTCTAAACACGTCAAAAGTTGTTTTTTATACTTTCTTAACATGTTTTTCAATAGTAATCTGTCTTCAACAGACAAAGCAAGGAAAATACTATCACATTCTTCACTGAAATTATCACAGCATTTTATTGCGTCACGACATAAAAATCTGACATTACGCAAGTCTTATCAGTACCACAACACACAGAACAGGACAATATTTCTTCACAGTCTGATTGCGTACGATGGCAGTCATTTATTTTTTTAGTCAAACAGAGTTCGTTATTAAGAAATTGAAGAATTCTAGCCTTTGGGTATTTCCTTTCTTTTCCAAACATTTTTATGCAAGGAGAATCCCTATAGAGAGAAAAGAATTACACATTACATCAGTAGAAAAATATTTGAGTAACGGTCATCAGCTTCCCGGAAAGAAAATATGCGCAACGCTGTAAATGTAAAATATTTTCAGGAGAAATACTTGCAATAGATTCATATGCCGGGACGTCACAAGAAAATTTCACAATAGGAATTCGAGTGTTAAATACCAGATAAAACCGAAAATAACGATCTGTAGAAGTTTCAAAAGGTTCTTAAATAGTCAAATTAGAAAGAAAAGACATTAATATTTTTCTGTCAAATGACTCAATGTGCAATTATCAAAAGCAGCTCTTACACCAACCACATTAATTGGAGTCAAACTACATTTTTCCACTTAGAGATACACCTATTTTCTTTTCCTTTGCATCCAGTTTACAAGAGCACTTTGATATACTAATAATGTTCATGTTTAAGCTATAAAAAACCTAAAACATCATTCCATCTTGACTTAGAATAGCTATTTCAGGCAGTTGAAAGTTTTAGAACTTAGTTTAATAGCGCCACACTAGGGTCATAATATTCGAAGCATCTACGGCATGTAGAGGACTCTAAAATTATAATTTTTTGCCAATGAACGATTGGGAAATTTTATAAGCCAAAACAACAGGTTTGACATTTTTGGCTGTTAGGCAACTAGTTTGCTGTTTGCCAGGTAAACTAATTCTCTTTAACTGCGTCAAAACCGGTCTTGCTGAAAACTAGCGCATGCGAAATTGCCAACCAATCGGGTATTTTGAAACTTCTGTTACTTTGACCAACGGAATTTCCCACAAGTTCATTGGCAAAAAGTGATAATTTTAGAGTTATATCCTTGAGCGTATAAGTTTGTAACATCGAGACTCTTGCATATCTTAGAAGCTAATTTTACCGTATTTATAATGTAAATGGTACCCAAGAGATAGAGAAAAAGAAAGAGAGAGCGAGAGCGAGAGCGAGAGCGAGAGCGAGAGCGAGAGCGAGAGCGAGAGCGAGAGCGAGAGCGAGAGAGCGAGAGCGAGAGAGCGAGAGAGCGAGAGAGCGAGAGAGAGAGAGCGAGAGCGAGAGAGCGAGAGCGAGAGAGCGAGAGCGAGAGCGCGAGAGCGAGAGCGCGAGAGCGAGAGCGCGAGAGAGCGAGAGCGAGAGTGAGAGAGCGAGAGTGAGAGAGCGAGATCGAGATAGCGAGAGTGAGAGTGAGAGCGAGAGCAAGAGCGAGAGCAAGAGCGAGAGCAAGAGCAAGAGCGAGAGCGAGAGCAAGAGCGAGAGCGAGAGCGAGGACGGCGAATGCTCTGTCCGCAGCCTGTACCGCCTGCAGGCGAAGGCGCTGCCGTGGCCGCAGGCGAGGGCGGCGTGCGAGGCGGAGGGCGCGCACCTCATCGTGGTCAACTCGGAGGCCGAAGCGCAGGTGGTGCGCGAGCTGTTCGGGCGCGCGTCGCAGTTCGAGGGCGCCATCAACTCGTACTGGCTGGCGGTGGGGCTGCGCAGGAGCGGCGAGCGCAACGAGACGGTGCTGGGCGCGGCGCTGGAGGCGTCTGGCTACGCGCGGTGGGCGCCCCTCGACGGCCAGTGGGCCCCTGGCCCTGGCAAGGACTGCGGCATCATGGACCGAAGGATGCTCTTTGCCTACGAACTGTGCACGCACAAGAGAGCCTTCATTTGCGAGTTCGAAGCGGACAAAGCGCTGTACTAAACCAGGGCGTTCACAGCATTTCTTTAGGTAGTTGCTATGCATTGGAAATGATATATCCAATCGGAAAAGGAAAGAGTGAAATTCACCAAACCAAAAGACGTCGCAAAACTTTATTCGCAAAACTTTATTCACAAAGATGCTGAAAAGTAATGAATAAAGCACTGAAGGAAATTATTATGAGAGAGGCATGATTTCATTCCTCGTGTGAATGTTTTCTAATTGTTCAAAATGCAGTTTTAACAGGTAATGAATGCATTTTGAGGTTATATTTGCATCCAAACTACTTCGTTAATTCTTCTGAATATTATTATGAATAATAAAGAAGTGTCTTTCCATATTTCATCAAAAAATTCATGATTTCTCTTTATTGAACCACAAAACCTACTGCTACCAATGTTGTGACTCTCTATATAATGCTATATGTAGAGTGATTTAATGATTATATACTTTAGACAATTACAGTTATTTCATTATTCCTTTTTCTCTTGGTATCCAAAAAACCTGTAAATGTAGTAGACCCATTGAAGACCATCATTACATTTGTCATTCTGTTTGAACAAGTTTAAAATTTTGAAATTAAATAAGGAACTTCAATTTGTTCAAAAAACTAATCGCTACAATTGAACATCGAATTCAGAACTCATCGTCTATTCCTACTTGCTACTATCATCACGCTAAAGGGAAGACTAAAGCATCGAACCATTTCATGGTTATTTGTATTATCCCTTATATAATACTCACTCTCCATCTTGTTCCATTGAGGAAACCGAAAGACTTTGGAAGTTTGTACAGAAAATGTCATCCATTAAGAGATTTTACACGAACTTGTTACTGAGCGACAAAGAATTTGATGAATAGTGTTACAACACGGAACATATGTCGAACGTATTTGGAATTCCACAAAAGAAGTAGATGTTGACATTGGATTATTGACAATATTTAAATTGTTAGTCTTCACTGAGAACTACGTATGGATAATAAATATTATATAGTCAAAGAAAGTGGAAAGATTAGAAGGGAGTCCTCCATATTACTGAAGGTGATGTGCTCCCTTATTGGAGAAACATATTTACGATCTTCTCCAATAACTAAGTATAATTAAACAACTACAAAATGTTCGTATTCTTTACATTTTAATAACTTTCATGGTTTGTTATTTACTGTAAATTATTGATACAATATACATGAATATCTTAGAAATCTTAATATGTTTTGCGTGAAAAACCCAATACACACTGACGTCTTGTCTTTCTGATGACTCACATTTCGACCACATGCAGGCCACTTGATGTAACTGACCCGTTCGAGGTTAAACTACCAAGTTCACATCCTTGCTAGTTTATGATTAAGCAATTACAAAATAAGAGACGATAAGTTAGAACGTATAATATCCTTATTATAAGAAAAAACAGACACAATATATTTGGTAAATACATAGAGTATATGTAACAAAGAAATGTAATAATTGTTTCCTGCAATATATGCAAATTGTAATAAAATGTTTTAATCAGTACAAACGTATCTTAAATATTTCAATGTTCAATTTATTGACTATAATTGAGATTACTATCAGCTGTTCATCAATGAGTTTACTCTGTTGACCGTCATACCTTTAAATTCTTAAAAAGAAGATTATAATGCACAAAAGAGTATTTTTTGTGTTGAAATATTCTTCATTATATTATCTTTAGTGAACTATCTTCAGAGCCTATTACAATATTTATTTATCATCTATAAACTATAATTCTTAAAACGAACTAGTAATTCACAGATTCGCATCGTATAGATCGCCCTCATTTGAAACCTCTTTTGCATGGAAACCTCCCTTGCCGCCTTCTCCGCCCCGTTGCCCGTCTTCCTCCACCGCCGCACCCACAGAGACCCTGACGCTGCCCACGCAGAAGTTGGCGACCGTGGTGATTGAAACGGCTGCTTAAGTCCCTTTGAGGGAGCCCCGAGGGTGCATAAGCGTTCCCTCAATGGCGTTTGCAATTCCACCACGAAATGAAAATTCCCTTCCCTTATATTTTTCTTGGACTCAACGATGCTTTCTGCAGAAGAATTTTAAGATTATTCATGAGATATAAGAAAGTTATTAAACGATAATGGACATTTTGATATTTAACAGTTCGAGAGACTCCAAAGAAACGTTTAAAATAATTGAAGAAATCAACTGAATAGAATACGGAATTACTTTAACCAAAATGTGTAACTTAAAGGCGTGTTAAAATAGTAATTACTGAAAATAAATAGAACTACTACTAATAATAATTAGTTTAAATTATGTTTTCATAAGCTACGGAGCTTTCTATCAATCAATGTAACAATAAATAAATACCACAATAGAAAATAATAGGTATTTTTCTATCAAGTGGCCAAAGAAACAATTATGAGCAAGTTAGATAATTGATTATTCATGTGATTAGTAGAGCGTTTAATTACTATCTAGTAAATAATCATCTTTTGGCCACGTTTTACATTTTGCGATTGCATTTTTAAGATTTAGACATATTTTATAACTGTTCTTCTAAAAGTGTAAAAGTATTATATTCGTTCTTAATACCATTATAACATTTTACGTCATAATGAGCCATTGTGTCTACCCCGAGACTCTATGTAAACAACATATAAAACGATCGGTTGGGATAAAATATTCGTAGTAGAAACGGAACGTAAGAATTTAGGAGGAAACACAGAACCGGAAAGCAGATTTGGCCGTAACCTACAGCCAGCGAGCTCCAATAAAATAACAAGTCCACCCGAACCAAACTCGCGGAAACACTGCCCGGTTCGCCGACTCGCAAATAACGGCGGCCAGCGCTCAACTACATCGCAGAAAGTTGCCCCAGGGGGCGGGAATCTCGGTTTTAAAGCGAACGCATAAAGCGCAACTGGGACACGGCCACACACTCCGCCGCGACGCGCGCTGCAAGTCGCATTTCCGGTGCCGGAGCGCGCTGGG